TTGGGATCACACAGGGAGAAAACTATACAGAATTGCTCCCTAGTCATCTACCTTTCTCATGCACACACACAATGCAGACCATTTGAGTGGATCTCCAGAGATGAGGCAAAAGCATCAGTATTTTTCATAGGCTTTCCAGATGATTCTGTCCTGCAGCCAAGGTTGAGACCGACAGTGATCTCTCAGGCCTCTCTAAATTTGGTCATTACAGCTATTATTTGAAATGAGGGAGTCCCAATGAGAACAATTTACAACTTTTAGTTGGATCACTTGAGTTGTGTCTGTCATTAGTTGTTAACGTCTATACTAACTTAGCGTATAAACTCCTGAGAAAGATTATGTTATCACTTGCTCAAGGTCTTATTTGTATGGTCCAGAACCAGAATTTGAACCCAAGTCTGTCTGACTATAACTGTATTTTAATTAAAAGACCTCAATTAAAAAATATCTTAAATAGATGTACAGATAAACATACAGTCACATTTCTTTGATTGAACACAGACTATGTCCTGGAATTTTTTGTAGCTTTTAGAAGCAAATTGAAGAATAAAATGTTTTTATTAGCCATTATCCCAGCTATATCCCTATCTATGTTATTTATTTAAAAATCATCTTTCCAATAGAGGGCTTTGGTGGGTTACCTTGGCATAGAAACTGTTCTCTCCTGGCTGCCCCTGAAAACTTTTTCTGAATCTGAGCACAATAAAATAGCTACAACACAAAAGTCACTGTTTCCAAGGGCAATTCACATCTTTTTGAAATTTTAGTAATAGATACTGTAATAAATTGTAATCGGTTGACACTTAATTATGTTTGAAGCACATACCCCAAAGTTATTGTTATGGACTCAATGTGTCTGCTAAAATTCATGTGTTAAAGTACCTAACCCTGAAAGCATTGGTATTTGGAGATGAGGCCTTTGGGAGGTAATTAAGTTCATATGAGGTCCTGAGTGTGGGGCACTCATGGTGGGATTAGTGCCCTTTGAAATAGAGACCAGAGAGCTTGGCCTCTTGCCTCCCACAGCACGCCCTGCCCCACTGTGTGAGCACACGGCAAGAAGGCAGCACAGGTAGGCCAGGAAGAGGGTTTTCACCAGGAACCAAGTCCGTGACACATTGATCTTGGACTTCCCAACTCCAGAACTGTGAGAAATAAACATTTGTTGTTTAAGCTGATATTTCGTTATAGCAGCCCAAACTGAGTAAGACAGTCTCAGAATAAACCTTTGGTCAATTTCCAGAGATTGCCAAAACCCTCTACTACTTGCACACTTTTTTTTTTTTTTTTAAAGTGTCATTTTTAAGTAGACTGACCTATCCCTTTGTGCTTATTAGAATCTGAAAAGGAAACTCCAAATCCCTGATCTCTCTTGCTGGCTGATGGGTGTTTAGAATGCTACATAATGGCTATTGGCTTAAAAATCTTATCGTTCATAGCTAAAGTTTGAAAGAATGATTGCTTTATAGGTCCCCTCTAAATGTCACATCGAAAGAATTATAATCCCTGTTCCGAAAAATGAGAAACATCAGATCTCTTCACTGACAAAAATTTCCTTTGTTCTATAGAATTAACATGTTTTTGAAAGTGTTGCATTTCTTTATGAAATTAGTATTTTTAGTACTCTGCTCTTGAATGTATTTCTCTTGTTTAGAAATGATATTTTATAAAGAAAACCTAATTGTTTTATTCGACAGCCGTGGGGCCAATTTTATAACTCAGATTTTGCTGAGACCAGGAGCATCTGATTTAACAGGAAGTTTCAGGTACAGCGAAAACTTATTATTTTATGTTTTCTACTATTTATAACTTCTTGCCTAAATTTCTTGCTTTACAGTGGCTTGTTTTAAAGAAATCCTTTTCATTTCTACCCGTTTTTGTTCTGGAACACTAAAAAGGGCAGACTGAGATTCTTTAGAAGATGCTAGTGAAGCGTGAGCATCTTCTGAAGAAAAATATTGGACTTTTTAAAGAGCATCGAAGGCAGGTCTTAGGTTAATGTGCTTGTTAATGTTGGTATTAATAATGCTCAGCCTCCTCAGACCGCTCACTGCTCATCCTGAATGTTGCTGTCACTGGTAGCATTCACCAAAGAACAGCGCCACTTCCAGGAATTTTCCTGTAGTTCATATGAATATTTATAGCATTGTCCACCAGAAAGTTTAAAATCTTTAATAGTTATATAGAGCTTATTTAGTTACCCTTTTTTTCACGTTTTTTATTTCAAAAAATTTTTTAATTGGTGAAAAGCCTCATGTTAGGTCCTTGGGTTATTTTTAATTTTTGTTTATTTTCATTTAATTTTAGACTTCCTGCAGTAGATGTACTATTTTATATAACCATGTCCAATGACTAAAGACTGACAGATTTATTTTTTTAATCTCTGAAACTATAAAACGCCTATTTGTCTTCTTTAAGGCCCAAATCCTATGCATTAGTTAATAATTTATGTATTACTTGATACTTTTTCCATTAAATCTTGATTCTTCAGTCCTTCATTAGAATTCACTCACAAATTAGGAGCTGCCTGTTGAAGGTAACTAGTATAGCTGCACGTCTGTTGAATAGCAGTTCAGAGATAGTAAGACAAAGTAAAAAGTGAAGAAATTTTTTTAAATGTCCTACTTGGTAAAAATAAAAGTGCGTATGAGCCCAGGGCAACAAAAAAAATGGAGAGGAGCTATCACAAATTAGAGGTCAAATAATGAAAATGAAGCCCTCTCTAGAATTAAAATGTAAATTGATTGGATAGCAGAATTCAGTGTATAAAAGATCAGGGCCCATAAGTACATCCCTTTAGTTCCACACTTCAAGGCAAAGGAATAGTGTATTATCTGATTAAGATCACTGATTGCCATGTAGCGACAATGCAGAGAATAATGGCACTCACAAAATCTCTACAGAGGGCGTGGCCAGTGTGGACTTCACAATCCTACAGGTACGATGACTGAATGAAGGTCTAGGTGGCTTCCTGGTTGTGGAGACAGGGGCTTTGCTTTTTGGCCTTGTTCTCTTAGTTACTACATCAAAGGGCCCCTTCACAGTCGAAAGCTATGCAGGTGCTTTCAAAAAAGCTAAAAAGTGATTCATTTTGGACCCAACAAATATTTATTGCATGCCAAGCACTGAACAAGAGTCAAAGTCCCTGTCCTCATGGAGTTTAGACATTCTAATGACATGAGACTTACGGCTACATAAAATACATGTAGCATCACGTAGATTATGCTGTGGAGAAAAACACAGCAGGAAGAGTAATGGGAATGGGTGCCTCACTGCCACCAGAACCATGCGAGGATTAGAGGAGGGGGTGAGGATGAAGGATGGACGGCCTGGGCGCTCTAGATCTCATGTAGCAAGAGCAGTGATTGGGTGTATTCTGTGCAAATCGCAGAGCAGCCACACACGGACGAAAGTGAGCCTGTGATTGACTATTTTTAGTTACAGCTCATTGTCCCTTCATAAGAGTAGTAGTGATTTATTAAATACATTCACTCAAGTTCAGTTTCTCATTAGATAAAGTTCATTAATTGGCATTAGATCTCTAGTATTTAGGAGGCATGTGGCTTTTACAAAATATAATCCCAAAAAGGCTGCTGTCTGATGTAAGCCATTTAATATCAAAGACCATTTGGATCCCACTTATCCTATTTGTTGGCTCATCTGGCTTCATGTATGCAATTTTACATAATCAGCCATAGTTTGAGAGAGATTGTGGTCAGGGAATAAAGGGACAATGAAGAAAAATAAATGTTTTACAAAATGACTCTTAAAGGAACAAAATTCATAGCCTAATCCCAATTTGAAAGGTAATGCTGAACATCACATCACGATCATAATCTTTCCCACATACTCAGTCCTCCCCTATTCAACTTTATTTGACATGTATCTTTAGTTTCTGCTGCTAAAACCCCAAAACCCCAAAACATAAAAAGGTGCCTTAAACACAGTTGGCTCTCAGTAAATATTTGTTACTGAATAAATATTACTACTATCAGATTCCCCTCACTTCATATTTATTCTAAACTTGTTTTGAATTCTTATGGAATCTGTGTAGGCAAAAGAGTACACACACTAGTCCTCAGGTTCCTCTAAGAACCGTGGTTTCTGTCATTTTATATACACTTAAAAGCTTGAAAAGCCAAAAGGCAGGGTAGCCTTAGTGGAAACCTGAGGAAAAAATGCGGGTTCCAGGTAAACCCCTTGGGCATTGTAGATCCAAGTGGCCTTCGCTTCCAAGAGAACAGTTACACCAAACTGCCTGCCAGCTTGCTCCAAAAACGCTGTCCTACTCACTGAGACTGTTTGGGGTTTGTTGTTGTTTTTTTGTTTTACCTCGGTGACTGAAAACAGGAAGCTCCTGAAGAAGGTGCCTGGGTTCACTCACAGGATTTCCCAGCTCCCTTGTCTTACTTTGTAAATCTGATGAGCTTTGTGTTTGGCCTGCAGTCCATCTAAAGTTAGGCTGCATGTTCACCCATTATAAGTTTCTAACTGACCTCAAGTGGTGATAGCTCTGTCCCACTAGGATTGCCTCAATCCTGTCATGCCTAGTACCTTTCTTAACCTAACCAAGATCATCCTGGTTGGGGCGGGGCGGGGGGACTTAGTTTATCCTAGGGAATAATATGTTATTTAGTAGATCTCAGCAAATAAAAACTTGTCGTAAACATTTATAAGGAAACACCTATAAGCTACTAGGTTGTTGTCATCTAGTTTGTATTGTTGCTTCATCATCATCTATCAACTCTGTTTCAATATTTGAAAGAGTTTCTCTTCTTCCATGTAGGATACATGTAGGCAAGTGTATTTATCCAGCTGTTGATATATTTTTTAATTTTGTACAGGTTATACAGAAAAGAAGTTCTACAGAAATTAATAGAAAAGTGTGTTTCTAAAGGCTACATCTTCCAGATGGAAATGATTGTGCGGGCAAGACAGCTGAATTACACTGTTGGCGAGGTATGCAGCTGACGGTAGACAGTATGTGTATTCCTCATAAACAATAACAAGGTTTAAACGTCTTATGATAAAAAGTTTCTTTCACAACTACTAAATGTGGAAGGCTTCCAGTTGTTTAGAATGTCCATACACTAAAGGGTGAAAGTGTACATTCCTTTCAAATTAATACATTTGACCTACCACGATTTAAAACATTAACAGAAGGCAGCATTACCTTTAAATAATTAAAAATTACTGGTACCTTCTCCATCCTTGACCTTTCTTCTGACCACTGAACTTTCTAGGATGAGTCTGTGTGCTGCTTTTCCTCTTGCCATGGCCAACAGCCATCCTACTTTAAAATGAATGCTCTCATTGCCCATTTCATAGGAGTAAATGAAAAGGACAGGAATTATTTGGGACAGGGAGTCTGTAATATTTACAGCTAGCTAGTAAACTCTTAGAGAAGATTCTTCTCATTATACACTAATTAGTTATCACTAATATTCTTATTCAGACCAAGAAACCTAACTAGAATGCTATTTCCCTTGTGGAAGTTACAAGATTTTTAACTTAATACTAAAACATAGGACAGCAACATTTGATGGACTGATGAAAAAATTAAGTGAAAGGCCATTTTACTTTTGGAGTATAATTTTTTCCTTGAGATGCAGTCTAAAACTTAAGTAAACCAACTTAACATGCAGGATCAATGCTTTCAAACAGTTTTCAGTTAGGTTCATATGGCCTATTTTTAGATAATAAACTTCATGCTTAATTTTAAAGACTTGGAGGTGCATGCAGTTGCTGTAAGAGTCCCCTAAGTCTAAACTTACTTGAAAGACTTGCTGTCATAGGACTAATCTTGTTTCTGTTGTATTAATAGTTTTTTATGCCTGCTACTCTTCCTTTCTAATATTTTTGAAGACTGACTTAATGTATATTTTTTTAACTAGGTCCCAATATCATTTGTGGATCGTGTTTATGGTGAATCCAAGTTGGGAGGAAATGAAATAGTCTCTTTCTTGAAAGGATTATTGACACTTTTTGCTACTACATAAAAGAAAGTTATTCATTTATATTTATCATGTTCATTTCAATTTAAACGTAGAGGAAGCCTGGTTGCTGATTTTTATAAAATGTACTCTTAGAGCATAAATCATAAGGTAAGGTAAATTTCATGCAAATCTTTTTTCTGAAGAAACTCCATTTTATATGTCAAATTAAATTAGAAAAATGAGCAGTGTTATCAATTTTCGTTTACATTTTGCTGTATTAAGACCTATAAATAAATGTATATGGGGTTTTGCATAAAATACTGTCTTCATAGAGTATGTGAATGCAGAATTTCTGACATGGGGAAGATTTTGAAATATTTATAAACTGGGTTCATAGCTTTTTGTACCTAACAGATGTCAGAAGAGGAATGCTGATTATATTGATGATATATATATATATATGACTGCTTATGAATTGAAAAAGAAATACACACCTCTGCCCTTTTAAAATATAGCTGAGATGTCTTTAAGTCAGATAAAACTACATTTAGGGCAGTTTTAGAGTTTGGTTCTTTGCAGCTGTTGAGTTGATGAAGTAATTCATTTGTCAGAGCACGTCTTTTAAAATAAACCTTGTGAACTGTAAATTACTTGACAGCACTTGATAGCATAGCTGCTTTTTTCTCTTCTGAGCAGTACCTTCTCTCAGTAAGCAAAAATATTGATACTAAAGCATCAACTTAGCTGCTATAGTAATTTTTAAACATGTTACAAACTATATAAAGATTTTTTCCTCAAAATAATTCTTTTCATGTTATTTCAGGACCCTTAACAAAGCATATATCTTTACTAATAGAAAATTCCTTCCCTATAACTTTGTTCTGACAGTTAAAATACAGGTTAAGTTGTTCAATAAAGCCAGCACAGATGTTCTGTTTACCTTCTCTAAAGTAGGTACTTCAAAAAAAATCGATTTCTGACTTTAGCATGGCTTTTGGATCATGCAGTATATTTTAAAATTTGGGGTAAGACATACTGTGAGCAAATAAGCTTAAAAACAAGTTGACTTTCCTTTGCAAATTAAAAGAAGCAGCATCTCTAAGTTATTTAATAAGGATATTTAGTGAAGAGCATTTCTAGTTACATTTTCCTGGCTTTAATTTGGCTGCTAAAGTCAATAAATTTAGTCTGATTTTACACTTGAATTTCCAACGGATCTTACCAGAAATGAATACCAGAGTATAAAAGTTTTCATGCCATTTTGAACATTACCTATTCCCATAGTTGAATCCTTATGACATATTCCAATAAAGGCCTCTACTAGGGTACTTCTCTTTTATACAGAGCTGTACAGCAGCCCACCAGGTACCCACTTTCCTTGGGGAAGTGACTTCTCTCATCATTAATAACCAGAAAATTCATCACTGTTTGATGTAAAATTAGTTTTAAGCTGAGACAGTAATACTTTTTTTTTAAAGTATTTAGAATCTATTCTTTTTCATCTAAACCCAAAGTTCAGTTTTTACTATTGAGTATTTGGAGCAAAGATGAGGTAACTACTTCAGAGATCCCATTAGTATTGCTTTCTCAGACCTCACTAGAGTATTTCAGTTCTTATTCCCACAGTCATTACAACACTGTCCCTGAAATTTACAGTAAAGAAAGAATTTGAGCAGTGAAGACTTTCACCATTTGGAAGTTATTTAGGAAAGAATCTGGACTATTTAGATGCATTTTTGTAGTAAACCTGGTGACTTAAACACTGTAAAATCATTTACATGTGAATCCAGCATCCCTTCTTACTTTATAAATGAGGCCAAGGATGAAATCCAGATGTTCTCTCTTTGTATTATCACTGTATGAAATCTATGTATATCTAAGATTTCATCCAAACTTAAGATAAACTTTTTGCTTATTTCATATTAGCTTTTGCCTGTCTTCAACAACATGTAATTTAGAGGCTTCATCTTTGTCTAAATCAAATTCTTTGTCCCCCACCCTTCCTTTTTTTTAAAAGACTTATTTCAGCTATTGTTTTCCTTGAAAACATTGATTTGGTTTTTAAGGATATATTTTATCACAAGTTCAGAAATTAATGTAATACTGTGTTGCATGAAACAACTTGTTAAACCTGCTAACTGAAGGGTTAGGCAGCGAGATACATGTAACCAACAATGTATATCATTTTCATTTAAGATTCTTTGGGGATGTTACGTATAGCTTGAAACTGTTAACGTGAAGTTTAGAGAAACAGCAAAAGATAAGTGTATTTACAGAGCACATCTTAAAATGATCTTGGTTAATCCTTCACAGTTGGCATTTACTAGTTTTCAGTATGTCTAGCCAATGATACACTCCGATGCATTCTATTAAAGGTGGGTTACAAATGTTGAGATAAATGTGTTGGTTGACGTTGACCTAAATTTACAAAGGCAAACTGTCCATGTGCTGTCTTATGCTATCGAATTGTGGGAGCACTAAAAGTGACTGTCCCTGGGACTCCAGTCCAAGTGTGCTTTTCAAGGATCTTGAGGTCCATTGGCAACATCATTTCTCATCCTTAGGCTTCACCAGTCTAGTGGCCTCAAAGCGCTAGGGGTCTCATTTGTTTTCTTCAAGCCAAAGAGAAGAGCCCATCACTGCCTTGGAAGGATGTGAAGTCCCGGCCTGCTTTCTGTAAAACACACCCTGCCCACTCAGTAGCCTACCCCGACAGGAAGGGGGACAGGCATCAAGCTGCTGTGTGAAGCACGAGGCCCTCACACCTCATTTAAGGCTGGAGGCGTCAGGCATGACCTGCCAGGTGTCCCTGCCCTTCCCGCTGCTGCCCAGCCCGTGAGCGCGCAGGCCTCCCAGCACGTGGAGCCGCAGGGCGGCCGCACAACCCCTCCTGCCAGATGTAGTCCAGGCCCAGCTGGGCCCGCGCAGGGATCCCCAGCACGGCCACCTGACTGAGTGCAGGGCGTGCTGCGGCCCGCTGCTTGTGCCTCCGCCGCCGGCGCTGCGGCCAGAGGAAGGCGCCTGCGGTGCACACGGGCCCTGGAAACGCACTGCGGCCATTATCCGCGGCGCCTCCTAGTGGGTCAATGGCAAATCTTTCTGGTTCTCGCGAGAGCTCCCCCTCAGTGGGGATTATATAATATCCTTTAGGCGGGGGTGAGGGTACTGGTGCCAACCCCCTCAGAGAAAAGTTAGATGCAAGCAATGGTGGGAATAACAGATGTCCCTGGGGGCTATGTGGGGAAGGGGTGCTGTCCCCCAATGCCCCCCCACTTAGCTGGACAATGAGTCCTCTTATGCTAATGAGGTACTTACGTCACTTCCGCTCTTTCTCGGCCGCCATTTTGGCTAGGGCAGGTTCGGGACTCTCTCCGAGGCGCTTGTATTGTCTGCTGAGGGGAGACGCGGGATCAGCCCCCTCCCCCGCCCGTTGCTGCCGCCGCCTCCGCCGGCCCGGTCTCCCCTCCGCCGCCC